CTCATGGGGCATCTTGCGTATACGGGATGTCATCAGCTCAGGCTCAGGGCTGCTCGTTTCCACTGTCTGCCCCTGTGCTCCTGTTTCTCTTTGACCATCATCACCCATCAGCCATGCCAATTTTTTCTCTGTGGTGGGCTCATCCACACAGCCTTGYTGGGAAACACTGTTTACGCTGTGACTCTTAGTAGTCACAAGCTCCATACTGGCAGAGCAAGGTCTGCACCACGCTAAGGCGCTTGGCTGAGATAGGCCTTCCAAGGGCAACCTTGGGAAGGAGCTCCTCAAATTAGTCCCCCCAGGAGGGCAAAGCACTGGAGCCCATGGTTCACAATACAGTTATCCAGATATGAAGCTCTGCCTGAGGACAAGGACTTTATTTTTTGGTAGGCAAGGGGTGCTTTAGGTGTCTTTCTCGTGTCGTGCAACTGGTACGGATGAGGTGCCTCAAAAAAGACAACTGGCTGAATTCACTGGCTGAATAAAGACAACTCTAGCCACTATTTGGGAGCCAGATGAGGAAACGAGTCCCCCTCAGAGGTGACACCCCGAGTCTGTTCTTGTGAAGGGATACAAAGTTGGATGCAGGATCATGAATCTTTCGACACGGGACCATTTCCYGCCACCATGGCCTTACCTATCCACTTCACAGATGGTGGTGAGGAGCTCTAGAGAGCCCATGGCCCACATGGAAGTGTTCGAAACCTTAGCGAACCCCCTCCTCTAAAGCCCTTGCGTGACACCATGTCATTTGTACGCTCCGTCCTGTTTCTGTGCATCTTCTGTCTCTCAGGAAGGAGCGTCTTTGAGACAGCTGCCTGGGCACCCACGTTGCCCTCTCTGCACATCCCCAGCTGGGCGCACGCCGCCTGCACCCAGGGCTACCTCCCACCACGGAGCTGGCTTTCTCCACGCACGTGAGGCTGTCAGCTCCTCACCATCAGGTACGACTTGGTTGCCAGCCAGCTGGAGGGAAAAACAATCTGTTCCTTTTCCTTCCCAGCAACAAAACAACTTCCCTTCTCGCAGAGCTGTCAGAAATTTGAGCAATGAAGCTGCTAAGTGTGGAAAAGCACTCCCTGGTGCCAGGGCTCAGGGAGCTTCATGCTGCAGAGGCAGGCACAGAAGCGGCAAGGTCGCCTGGCATCTCCAGCAGCACGACCAGAGCCTTCAGAGGAGACAGAGATCCCTGAAATAGGAGCTTGCCCAGGCAAAGAGGCCAGCTGGGATGATGATGGAGAGCAAAGATGATGGAAGACAGGAGCAAGGGGCAAAAAAGCTACTCGTTCCTGGAGGCTGGCTCCAGCCATGCCGCAGGGTCCTGCTCCGTGGGCTGGGTATCTGCTCTACCTTGCTTTGACTCTCTCTCCAGCTGCAACCAGCCCCAAARCCAGTTTGCTGGCAGAGAAGCCAGTTGCTCACAGGGTGCTTTCGGAGGCTGGCCTCCATCCTGAGGACACCTACCGAGGTCCTTCTGAGGCACTCATCCCTGTCCTGCCAGCACTTTGTCCCTGGCAGTCACTTGCTCACAGCTTTCTCTTGATGCTCCTGTTTTCCTTCCACTGGAGTTGGGTCTCTTTTACCTGGGCCAAGARCCCTGCTCTGAYRTGAAGGTAGAGGACATCCACCTTGMACCCAACCATCTGCATTTCTCTAATGGTCATCATTCTTGCCCAAGCCTGCAGCCAGAGCTGAGGTTTTCATCTCATTTCCATGTTTCCACAACCAAGGAATAAAACAAACCTTGCAGAATTGCAGCTTGAGCTCTTCTGCTCTTGCCTTCAGAGCAGCCATCAGCCCTGTGCTGGCAATAAGGTGAGSATCTGATAGGACATTTGGCTTTGCACCTGTGTTGGCACCCATCACGTTCAGCACCTGTCCTCAGGGCCTTGGCCGCCCTGTTTGCATGGCCAGTGTGCTAAGCCTCACCTCCTCCTTAAAGGATAAGAACAAGTCAAGTGTGTGGGGAGCTCCTGTGACCTCTGCCTGGAGGCTGTTCTTCAGCATGGTGGCATCTGCAGGTGGCTCTTGCTATTCRTGCTATGCCAGGTAATYTATGGGTGCGAGTTCGGCCCTGATAAGCAGCATTTTCCTCTCAGTGATTCCCCAAGCAGCATTGGTTTTGCCAAACAAAAGAGTGGGCAAAATGCTAAGACTTTATCGCTCCTTGGAAGTCACTGTTATTTTGCGGTCTGCAGGGTTGAATGGTAGGTGTGTTGTCCAYGGCAGTCCGCTGTTTTCAAATGAGTGTGAAGGGCAGAGAATGAGGCAGGGTGAAATGGGAGGGTGCTGCCTCCCTGGAACATCCTGCTTGCCTGGGAACAAGGAAAGTGGGGTCTACCTGTKCTTTTTTTTTGCATTTCACCACTATCTATCCTAGGCCAGACTGCCTCATGCTCACGTACATATGGTACATAGGGTACATGTGTGTTTGAATCGCAGGCAGGCCTCATAAATAACCCCCGTGCTGCCCGCACGCTGCTGCTGGTGGTCACCTGCCCCACAGCCAGCAGATCTGTGCTACTGACAGCCCACGAGGCTGAGATGGGCCACGGCAGTTGGGCTGAACATCCTCAACCTGACAAGGTCCTGAGCCGCCTCATCTAGTTTTGAAGGTGAATTGAGCKTGGAGGTGGGTCCCACTGTGAGCAGGTGATTGAACCTCAGATCTCTAACATCCCTGCCTTAATCCCTAATCCTTCCTATAGCCCTCAGTCCAGCTCCCTCCCCAGGCTGCAGCACCCAGCAATGAAAGAACTTTGTCAAAGCAAAGCTTCCTAGGATGTCTCCATCAGGAGCCATCAGCATCTTGCACTCTCCATTGGCACATACTGGGATTCTCTTCTTTAGGACTGGTTTTGTTGCCCTCCCTGCCGGTCTTTTCAAAGCCTGTAAAGCCTACAGCGTCCGTAGTAACTTTGCATCTCATATCCGACCACATCCAGGCTCTCTTGAAATCATCACTTAGCAGCATGCTGAGAAGATGGCAGAGTGGGATCGCGTCAGCGCTGGAGTGATACCTCGCCTGCTAATAGATGGCTTTGGCATGCATTTAATGGGATGGAAAGAGCACTTAAAGTAGAGCTGAGAGCATCCACCGCAGCTCTGCACTTCCCTGCCAGCTGGGGAGACACTTTGGAAGTGCTGTCATCAGGACACCGTGTGTGACAAGTGTCCTGCACCTGCAGGCTGCGTGCTTTCAGCACGAGGGGGTTTTCTTTTTGGTTAAACAACAGGACAAAAAACGCTGGTAATGCTGCTTTGAATCAGTGCAGTCCCTCTGTGTTTGGGCAGGGAGTACCTCCAAAAAGTGGAGGCTGGGCACAGCAGGAACACAGGACTAGATGCCTCCATGGGCACTACCTCCATGGGCAGCCCCATGGGAACTTGGCTGCTCTCTAGGAAGAGCCGGTTTTACTTTGGGGCACTCACTGGCCTTCAAACTGGTGTAATCTCCACCACCATRGCCAAGAAATCCTTTGCGCGGCGATTTCGGTGGCATCCCGGCATCAAATTTGTCATGATGGGTCTTGCTGGTCGGAGAGCAGTCCCCACAGCCCCTTGTGCACCACCACCAGCAGCAACGTCTGCCTGACACAGAGCACTTGCACCCAAGAAAGATTATCTGGGCAACAGTAGTGCCAGCTGGCAGCGGCAGTTTCAGTCCTGAAGCCTCCGTATTCGAGGGGTCCCTGGTGCTGTTGGACCCAGGATGAGGAACAGCTTTGGGATTGTGACCCCAGSCTCATTTTGTGTTGCAGAATTGCTTCGCAGGGCTTTGGAAGCGGCTGTTTGCAAGACATCCAGCTCGCACCCATGGGAATGCCGCAGYATGATGCCCCTGGCACCCTCACAATCCACAGAGGCAGTGTTTTTAATTAACTTTCCTTTGCAGAGCGTTCTTTTGCTGTATGTAGAGGGAGGCTGCAGTGTACGTTTTAATGGAAGCTGTTGGGAGAATTATAGATTTTGTTAGTAATGTTTTTGAAATGGTGCCATTCTGTTAAATCTGTCAGGCCCTCTTTGACGGTGTGGCTGGGAGCATTTCTGCATCCTTCATTAGTTTTTTAATACACAATAATTTCCCTTAACTCATCACCGCAAAGCAGGATTGGCTGTGTGCTCGGTAACCATTTTTCCTACATACCAAGCTATTGCAGCAATAATTATGAACAGAACGAATTATTATGGATATTCATTATAAAATACAATTACTCCGAGCTGTGCTCTGTTGTTGCACTTCTCAGAGCTATCACTCACTTGGAGTAAATGGTTTCATTATAAGCATGAAGGGCAAACTTAATACACTTCTGATTCATAGCAAACAGCACAAGAAATCATCTCTGCTGTTCCTCCAAATGCTTGGTGTTTGCTCCGAACTGGAGAAAATAAAATAAAGAAAAGAAGGGGCTGGTGCCAAAGACTTGCTAGCTGAACAGAGGAACTCTGGGTGGCGATGTGAATGTCTGTAAGGAGGCTAGGAGGCTGGGAGAGGTTGCAGCGTGACAGGAATTTCTCTCTTCCCCAGATGGTGTGGCTTGCTYTTGGGTTTGTGGCCTTGCAGTTTGGGAGCTGTTGGGCTGAGGAAGCCTTGSGGTTGCTTGGACTCACTGGAGGAGCTGGGGATGGGGTGAGAGGTGCACATATCTTGGATATATCTTGGTGTCTTCAGGATGAGGCGCTTCCAGGGGAGCCCGTTGTGCAGCAGGAACATGGTGCCATTCTCAGCGGTGGCCGCTGGCCACGTCGGAGAGGACGGCACCCCGTGTGTGGTGGGCACCCCGGTCCACGCTGAGCCCGGGGTGAACTCAACCCCTCGGCTCCTGCCCTTTGCTTTTTGTGCTGTGCTGCCTCGCCAGCCTGCGCTACCAAATCTGTTGTTTTCTTTCCGCAGCCACCTTCTCCTGGCCTCTCTTCCCTCCTTCTCCTCCTTCTGCCTGTCTCCCCTCCTTCCTTTTTCCCTCTTATTCTTGAATCTCTATTCTTCTTCTCTGTTCCAGCAAAACGATATCAATCAAGGTGATAGATGATGAGGAGTATGAGAAAAACAAGACCTTCTACCTAGAGATCGGGGAGCCCCGGCTGGTGGAGATGAGTGAGAAGAAAGGTGGGGGACCTGCTCCGGGGCTGACCCAGCCTGTGTGTCCCTGTCCGGCTCACTCATGCCTGGCACCCGCACCACACAGCCCACATCCCCGCAGCCTACGGAAAGGGCAGGAACCAGAGGCCGTGTCCTCCAAGCCTTTGGGGCCTAGCCTTGCTCCAGCCCTTCTCCGTAGGCCCGCGGTGGGAGACGTGCAGCCGCTTTTCCCCCTGCCCAACCATCTCCGGCACCACGGCACCTGGGCGGACGTGAAGTGCATGAGCGTGCGATGCCGATCATGTGTTTGCCTTTGTCTTGTGTTCCCACAGGAAATTCATTACCCTTAGAATACTTGACCGTGAGGAGTATGAGAAAGAGTGCAGTTTCTTCCTTGTGCTTGAGGACCCAGTGTGGCTACGAAGAGGAGTGAAAGGTGTGAGAGTAAAACCAGACCAGCTCTCGAGACGCTGCCGTCCGCTTTCTCTGTGTCTCCCTACTCTCACACTCCTTTCTCCTCGCACTTTGGCTCCTGGCCGGTTTTTGCCCTCCTTCCTTTGAAGCTTAAGCCGCTGCGCCTTTTTTGCTCTCGTTTTCTTTACTCTTTTGTTTGGTGCAGCCTCTCCCTGGCCCCGGAGGGCCCTGAGGTCCCCGGGCAGGGGCYGGCGAGCACCCCCAGCCTCCCCCAAAAGGCATTTTGAATGCACCCCGCAGCCACGTCTGCCTTCAGCCGAGTGGGAAATGCAGGTTAAAAAAAAAAAAATCAAGGATACTGCATCATTTTTTGTCTAAAGAAAAGACAGCCTTAGCTTGAAAAGAAATGCATGGCCAAAGCAGTAACTTCAGCCTCTTCTCTTGCAGCGAGGCTCTGGAAATAGCTCCGGAGCATGGCACGAGCAGGTGATTGATAGCATGAGATGCAATCGCTACAGAAGAAATTGGGTTATGCTCAGGTAAAGGTCCCTGGCCGTGTGCTAGATAATAGCTGCTTGTAGGAGTAACAAAAACGATTTCTGCTTTCATCATGGAAAATAGGAGTAGCCCCACGCCAACTGCAAGCCTTCCCAAAAAGACACGGCACACCCGTATCTCCACGTCTTTTCTTCCCTTTTGTCCTGCGAGGAAATTAAAATTCATGGCGACAGCTAATCCTTGTGCGCTAGCAGTGGCTGAGCAAGAAGCAGTTTTGCAGTTACTTAAGCTAATGAGTTGCAACACCGCAGACCATTATTAATGCCSGTGTGAGAAGCGGGGAGCACCGCTCGGTCTGCCCGCTTGCCTTCGAGCTGCTTTCTAATTCCTGGGCTGCAAGCTCCCCCTTCAGCAGGCACGGGGTTTTAATGTGCCATTCCTTCAGGATCCCACGTGCCCGGGCTTTCCCCGTGCTGGGCATGGAGATGCAGATGCATTTTAGGTGCAAAGTCCTGCAGTGATGCCCCGTTCCTCTTTGGAAACCAGCTAGCAGCTTGCCTGGTGCTTGATGTGAATGGTCAGGCTCATGGAAGCAGGACTCAGAACTGAGATGTGCTGGTGCAGTCCGTTTGCAGAGGGAGCGAGCAGTATTGCTTGGTGGTACTCGGGACATCTCTGGGCCACCATGAGTGTCGCCAGGCTCTAACTCAAGGTTATTGAGGGAGCTTGAGGGCAGTTCAGCTCTAAAAACTCCCTAGCTAGAAGTTTAGAAGGATATATACACCAGAGGGCTATGCTGGAGGATATATACACCAGAGGGCCATTCGGAGGGACCTGGACAGGCTGGAGAGATGGGCAGAGAGAGACCTCACAAAGTTCAGCAAAGGGAAGCACATTGTCCTGCACCTAGGAAAGAATAATGCCCTGCACCAGGACAAGCTGGAGAAGAGCTCAGTGGAGAAGGATCTGGGGTCCTGKTGGACAAGACGTTTAGCATGAATCAGCAATGTGTCCTTGTGGCCTGGAAGGCCAGTGGTATCCTGGGGTGCATCAGGAAAGCTGTTACCAGCAGGTTGAGTTGAGAGAGGTGATCCTCCCACTCTGCTCAGCATCTTGAACGCTGTGTCTGGTTCTACGCTCCCTAGTGCRGGAGAGACATGGAGCTACTGGAATGGGTGCAAGCAGAGGGCTGCTAAGATGAAGAAGGGACAAGAACATTGMTCCTAGGACGAAAGGCTGAGAAAGCTGGTCCTGTCCAGCCTCGACTAGGGCAGGCTGASCGGGGCCTTATCAGTGTGTATAAGTATCTGAAGGGAGGGTGTCCAGAGGATGGGGCAAGGCTGATGGTGGCCAGCATTATGACAAGAGACAATGGGCACAATTTGAAACACAGGAAGCTCCGTCTGAAAATGGGGAAAAAACTTACTGTATATGAGGTGGAGTGCTGGATAACACTGCCCAGAGAGATTGCGGAGCCTCCATCCTTGGAGATAATCACCAGCCATCTGGGCAATGCCCTAGGCAGTGTGCTCTAGGTGTCCCTRCTTGTGCAGGAGGCTTGGACTAGACGATTCCTAAAGGTCCCTTCCAGCCTCAACCCTTYCGTGATTCTAAGCTGCCGTTTACTGCTTTGGCCATCCGATGACTCATCCTTGCTCATATTTTTGCACTCCTGCTTTTCCAAAACCAGTGCCCCAGAGCCCGGTGACACCTCTGAGATACGTGTCGCAGGCAGCCGCCAAGGAAGAGCCTTTTTGTCTCGTTTTTGGAGACTTGGCGTGGTTTGTTGAGTGAGAAGCTCCCTGAGCCAAGCTCCTTTGCCGCACAYGTCTCCTCTCTCATTTTCTGTGTCCGAAGCACGGCTCGCTGTCCGCCTAGGCAGCCGGAGGAGGCCAAAGCCCGTAGCCACCGCACATGGGATCTGTTTGTCCTTCTGGGGCAGAACTGCCACCAAGACCAATGGAAGACCTTGCACATCCAATTCCAAGGGAATAAATGAATTTTTGGGAGCGTGCCTTCTAATCCCATGTTTGCAGTGATTTGTTTTTTTTTTTTTTTATTACCATCACCATCATTATTTTAAATCTGCAGCCCCACGAAACGTCTCCGTTCCTTCGTTTTTAGCGCACATCTCTCGACACTAACAGCGCCCTACAGCTTTTACAGATCCGAAGCCTCTGGCTGGGGATGCGGAGCCTTTCTGTGGATGTGCCCCTTTTTTTTTTTTTTTTTTTTTTTTTCATTTTTTTGTATCATTTCGTTGTATCATTTACTTTCTCTTCTTCTGTGTTTGTCTCTGTCTGTCTCCTCCGCAGCCCTGTTGTTGAATGAGCTTGGTAAGCGCGCATCCATCCCTCTGCCCTGTTTCTCCCGGCCTGTCCCCCGGGAGCTGCCTGGAAAGCGGTTTCCGGGCTTGGGAAACCAGGAACCGATGGGGCCATGGGGCCAGACCATGCACACGAGGCCACCCACCGGCCCAAAAAGATGGAGGAAAAACACAAAAAATGGGAATGGTCGGGGGGGGGGGGATTTTAGGGTGCTCTCCCATCTCCAAGCCCACGTGGCTTGGAAATTCCCTCCGGGGCTGGGTTGGGGCCTGCGTCCCCAACTGTGTCCTGCGCTGGCAGAGGACACCGGGGGACGCGGGCCCCGAGGGTGACGTGTCCGGCGCGGTGGGGGCCTGAATAACCCTGTCTCTCCTTCTCTCCTTCCTGCTGCTTCTCTTTGGGGTGTTTTTGGGGGGGCTCGCCCAAGGTGGCTTCACCATCACAGGTACGGATTCCTGCTCTTTTTTTTCCCCCCTGGTTCCCCTCCCCGCTGCCCTTCCTCCCTTCCTCCCGCGGTGTTAGCGGCCTCGCGCTCACCCCGCTCTCTCCTCCCGCTCTCTTCCTCGCCCGGCTGCCCGCGGCGCCCRCAGGGAAGCTCTGGCACGGTAAGGTGGCCCTGGTGGCCATGGCGGGTCGGCCCGCGCGGGAGGGCGCCTCGGCATCCCTGCCGACGCCGCTCACCCGCCGCTCGCTCTGCTAGGCCGGCCCGTCCTCAGGAAGGTCCAGGCTAGGGATCGACCTCTTCCTCACGCCGTGGTGGCCCTCCGAGGTAGCGCGGCGCCGCTGAACCCCACTAACATGGGGGTGAGGGAGGCGGCAGCCTGTTGGCCTCCCCCTTCCCYGATTAACCCCGGGCACATCCAGCCCTCATGAGGTCCCCCCGTTGTCACCCGCCGAGGGCAGCGCCGGCTCACGGGCGGCCTCGTTGCCTTGCAGAGGAGAGTGAGGAGAAGCAGCCGCTGACCAGCAAGGAGGAGGAGGAGCGGCGCATTGCCGAGATGGGGCGCCCGGTGCTGGGGGAGCACGCCAAGCTCGAAGTCATCATTGAGGAGTCCTACGAGTTCAAGGTACCAGCAGCACTGCCTCTGCTCCTCGGCTTTTCCCCCCTTTTTTTTTCCCCCCTAAATCTAATCCTATGCTCTGTGCTCCCGCCTGCAGAATACTGTGGACAAGCTCATTAAGAAGACCAACCTGGCCCTGGTGGTGGGCACCAACAGCTGGAGGGAGCAGTTCATCGAGGCCATTACTGTCAGTGCTGGTAAGTGCGGGTTGCTGCTCCATGTGGCCTGTGCTAAAGCTCTCGCACCTCTTGGTTTGGCTGTATCCATAATACTGGCCGTAGTGGAGTGGCACGAGGCAAGAGAGGCTGTGGAGTTAATTGCAGTGCCTGCAGAAACACAAAAGCTCAGCACGTCTTGCAGTGCCATCACCATCTGATGCACAGGTCACCTCCTGTGGGAAGGGCTCCTGTAGCACCCGGCAGAGGAGCATCCTGGTGGCTATCAAGAGGCAGAGGGGAGAAATAGTTTTAGCCGAAAGAAATCTAGGGGGCAAACTGTGTTTAAAGCTGCTAACATCGTGCTGGATCTCCAGGAGGGTGATCAGACATGTCTTGAGAGGCCAAAGGCCTCTGAGCCCAGCAGGACAGGCATAGACACCCACCACTTGGCTGCAGAAACAAGCCAACCTTGGGAAAGATCTGCTGCATGTGGCTGCCCCACTTAGCTTCCCAAGGAAAATCCTGCCTGCATGATTCCCAAAGCCCCAGGCCAAGGGCTGGGAACCGCTGCGACTGCATTTTTTGCCTGTGCTCCCTTTGGAGGCGCCTCTTTGTGTCGCATTTCAAGCAGGAAAATGCAGAGTGCAAATCCTTTTATTATTTTTTCCCCCAAAACTTCACTACAGATGACTGCAGCCCCAGAGGTTGTGGCTCAGTGGCTCAATAGCAGCTTGTGCTGCTTGTGAGCATGTCTGTATCTCTCTCTCTTGAAGAAGTGGCTTTCTCTCAGAAATACCTTGCTTAACTGATTTCACAGGAGCCAGTGCTAAGATTATCAGTATGTCCAGACCTCGGTTCAGATTTAGGCCCAGCATCATTGCCACTCCTGCGGGAAGCTGAAGACAGAGTGTTTCTCCAGATGTGGCTTTAGAAGCAGGAGACATTATAGTTCTCTGGTTGGAAGACACAGTCCCTGCAGCCCAGCCTGGGCTGCATGTGTGTACACCAGGGCAAAATCAACCAGCTTAAATTAAATCACTGAGAAGGGTGATTTGAGCTCATCTGGCTAATTTTATGTTGACGTCCAAGGGGGAACATTTGCACTTCCTACCCCAGCCTCTGCAGTGCAAGGACAACCCTCTGACTGGCACAAATTAAAAGTGATGGCCATGCTATCTTTCCTTTGCCTCCAAGAGCAAGGACAGGACATCTTAGAGCAGCCATCCCCTCTAATTGTGGTCTCACCCTTCATAGCATTGTTATTCTCAAAGCCTCCAGCCAAGAATCTTCCCATTATTTCAGATATGGCATGGATATATTATGTGAGACAGTCCTTGCTGCAGGTTTGGTAGCTAATATGACTGAAATAATCTATGCCAGAATCAATTACTTAATTGCATTCCATGTTATAGCAAAGATAGTCACTGGTCCTTGCGTTTCACCTCTGTGACACATGTGACGACTGCTCACTACTGTGCCTTGAGCATGCAGCCACCATCAGTGCTGGAAGGGTGATTAACAGAGATGCAGTGTTGGTGGACATGAGCAGGCTCTTGTAAATGGCCATAAAGTGCTTGCTTTTGAGCTGCACACCTAAGTTTTTGCCAGCATTTAGCTCCTCTGGGYTTGTGCTAGCTGAGTTACCACATCTCAAAGGTTGGAGTTTGGACCTGTGGGTGCGAGCATGTGGAAGTCATGCACCCCTGCTTCAAAATGCCAAACTCCCAGGGGAGGAAAGGAATGGCAAAACCCCCTTTCCCAAGCAGCGAGCAGCTGGRAGCCATGCTAGCCAAGGGGGTGAGCAGGGAAGAGAAGGGGCTTGGGCTTGCAGGCAGTGCAGGGAGGGCTGTGCCGGGCCCTATGGAGCCCCACCAGAGCCTGCTGCACTGGGGTTGGCTGCTTGGGTGCAGCGTCCCTTGGTGTGGGTCCAACAGCCCTCACACTGGCTCCTGCTGCAGGTTTATGCCAGACCCCCTGGGTCAACATCCACCTTCCAATGCCCTTCCAAACGTCTTGGCAGGAGCTGGACAGCTCCTGGAAGGAGACTACCATTATCCCTGCTTAACAAAATATTCGGCAGATCTGCACGAATGCTATGACAGTGGCCCTCCTGCTCATTTTTTTAATCTCTTTTGTCATTTCCATAGAGATTTAGATCCACGAGAGTCCTGCAGCTGTACAGTCTGGGAAAGATTTAAAATTCCTGCTGCAAAATTGCAGTGTCAGCACAGCACAGGGTGCCCTGCAAGGACCAGCCTCTGTGCAGGGGGCAAAAAAAGCCAGTGGTGGTTTCCCCGGCTAAAAAATATGTTGCTTATCTCCACCGTGATACACAGGAATGGGATACTTAATAATAACACCATGCTTCGGATCAGTTACCATTTCTGCCACAGTGAGCATGATGCTTGAAGGCTGACCAAGGCGTGACTTCCCATCATCGTGCTGTAGAGAGGCCAGGTTTCTCACTGCCTCTTGCTTACCTGTTGCTCTTGATCTGCAAAGGTGCTTGGAGGCCAAAGCTCTTCAGTGCCCTGGGCTCTTTAGTTCAGAGGACTTTCCCCAGACTCTTTGTGGTCTTATTTAGTGAAATCTTGCAAACCTCTGAAGGTGGAGATGTCCATTACCCCAGCTATGTGTCCCACTGCCCTGGAGAAGAAGTCCCGGCTGCTGCCCAGCTGTTCCCTCCCAAGCTACAGCTGGAGAAGGTTGCTCCTTGTTTTGCTTGTCAGTGCTAAGGGGAGTTTGGCTCCATCCTTGTATCTCCCCTCCGTGATGCTGTGGGCGAGAGCYCTCAGGATGCAAGCAGAGAGCAGGGACCCATGTGCTTCACAGCAGGGGCAAACCCATGGCTCTGGCTCSCCTCACAGGTTCCTAAAGCTCTTGTGTAGACTCGGGTAATCCAGGCCTCACTAGGCTTTCCTTCCATGGGTTTGGCCTCGACCTTCCCAGAAGGGCTGCCTGTCACGATCATCCATTTGGCTTTCCAACACCTTTTGAGAAGGCAATTGCAATTATGAGCAGCGAGGATCAGAAAACACACTAGTCACTTCTCCCAGCAATGCTGTTGTCATGGCACAGTGCCACCCTTTGAATGCAGGGTTAATTGCCGCCTTTGTATGGGTGTACAGCACACAGCAAGACCATCTCAATCTCCCTGCAGGAGATTTTATGCGTATCAATTAAAAATCCTTGTTGTGGARAAAGATATGGAGAGAAGAAGGCTTGCCCAGGCCAGCAGTGGGGCAGATTAAAACTGTGTGGTCTAATTCGAAAGGGTTTAACTGCCTGGTTGATATTGTGGCTGCAGGGTGAAGCAGGACGCAGATCCTTCGTCCCTTACATCTGGTGTTCAGCATGGTAGGATTTTGTCACCTCATCCACTGTGATGGAGTGGAGATTTCATCAGGTGCTTGTGGAGTCCTTGTGTCTTGGCTGCCTTTCCCTCCTGTCCCGAGGTTTCCTGTGGCCAGGACTCCTGATAGGAGGGAGATTTGATGCTTCATGTTCCTGGAGGGAAAAAAACCATCAGAGACAAGGGCAAAGTGAGAAACTCCTTAGAAACCCATTTCAATGGGTCTCAGGTTCCAGAGAATGACATATTTGGAAGTCATGGCTTTTAGGGCCATCTCTGAGCCCAAGCCATGAACAAGGATGTCTCGGGGGGCCCTTCCTGCACAGGAGCTTTGCCAAACCCCTAGGACAGGTGAGTCTAATCTGGCACTTTTTCCTTTTTTTTTTTTTTTTTTTTCCAGGGGAGGATGATGACGATGATGAATGTGGGGAGGAGAAGCTGCCCTCCTGCTTTGACTACGTGATGCACTTTCTGACCGTCTTCTGGAAGGTCCTTTTTGCCTTCGTGCCCCCAACAGACTACTGGAACGGCTGGGCCTGCTTTGTGGTCTCCATCCTCATGATCGGCCTCCTGACGGCTTTCATCGGCGACCTGGCATCCCATTTCGGCTGCACTATCGGCTTGAAGGACTCCGTGACCGCAGTCGTGTTTGTCGCGCTAGGAACCTCAGTGCCAGGTGAGGCCAACGGTAAAGCTTCTTCTGAAACAGGTCTAAGGTCTTGGAGAACACAGTCGARCACCTCTAGTTTGGGATGGGAAAGCAGGGCCCTGAGGTGCTCGACTGTGTTCTCCAAGACCTAATGAGGAGAGATTTAAAACATTCATGGAAGGTGTGTGTAAGTCCCAGGTGGAACAGGAAGATAGAGCCAGGGGTGTGGATCCAGTCCTCACACTTCTTTCTCTCACCAGTCCCAGACTTCCAGTAATTAGCACTTGGGGGCCCTAAAAGCTTGAAAATGGCCTAAAGATCTTAAGGCTGGGAAAGAAAAAAAAAAAAAAGCACAATAAAAACTGAAGATAGATTTKGACAAAGGAAGGAAGGAAAGGGAATTTTGGGATTCTGGAGCTTAAAGGCATTAGTTCCTCAAGGATGCTGCATAATCTGGACAACCTAAAATTTCCCTCCTGTTCCTGCTGAYAAAAGCTGGCATTTAAGGAAACATTTCAGAAAGGCATTTATGGCTGCTTTTGACTTACCCTGCTGGAATAAGATGCCTTCGGACTGTGTTATATTATCTGGGCATATCATTTGYACTCCTTTCTCAAAGGAGATGGCCAGAGCGTGGACAAACCTGCAGCGAAATCAAGCATCTCATCTGGTTCATTTGTTGAGTTTCTGGAGCTGACTTTATGCAACAAAATACAGATATTTGGCCTGGGACAGGGTGTAAAATGCTGGTGGTGTGTGGTGGCTGTATCCCAGCTCCACTCCTGCAGTGCTAAAGCCGCTGGGGAGCCTGGGCTCGCAGGCACCCGACGTGCAGCTTTTCTCTTCCATAGAAGGGATGAAAACTGAGCTCTTCTTCACTAGCGTGTCAGGGTCCGGGCAAAACACTGTTAAGACAGGGAGAAATTCAAAGCCTCTTTCTCGGCCTCCTCTCCACAGACACCTTCGCCAGCAAAGTGGCCGCCACGCAGGACCAGTACGCGGACGCCTCCATCGGGAACGTCACCGGGAGCAACGCCGTGAACGTTTTCCTGGGCATCGGGGTGGCCTGGTCCATCGCAGCCATCTACCACGCGGCGCACGGACAGGCCTTTCAAGTCTCGCCCGGCACCTTGGCCTTCTCCGTCACCCTCTTCACCATTTTTGCTTTTATCAGCGTGGGTGTGCTGCTCTACCGGCGGAGACCCGAGATCGGAGGTGAGCTGGGCGGGCCGCGGACTTCCAAGCTGCTCACGTCCTCCCTCTTCATCCTCCTTTGGCTCTTGTACATATTCTTCTCATCTCTGGAAGCCTACTGCCACATAAAGGGCTTCTAAAGGAACACTCAGAGATAGAAATTGTATATATATCTATATGTATCTATATAGAGCGATATATAGGTATAGATATAGATATAACGCTGTGTATAATGAACAGAGAAAGAATAAAGGAGATTTGCCATGTTCACACACCTGCTGATGGGGGAGCAGCTTTGGAGCGGTCTTTGAACTAGAGACGGGAGCCCAAAGCTGGCAGCACCTCAACGGCGCCGGCGCAGCGCCACGAGAAGCCGCCGGACCCTCCCTGCTCRCTCCCGACGCCCGCCCCGGGCAGGATGGATGTGCCCGCGTCCCGGGGCCGCAAGCGGAGCGGTGGGAAGGCGAGGAGCCTGATTCCAAGCACGGCCCGCCTGCCTTTCCCGCGTGTCTCCCCCGGGGGCAGGGAGCCGCTGACCGGACCGGAGCCCGGGAGCTTTCCGAGGATACCACCACAACCTTCGCCGTCGTCCGAGTTTCTTTTTTCCCCTTCGTCTGCTCATTCGTGCCGTCCCGGCGTGTGTACAGTTGGCATCTCCCCCCCGGTCCCCGCTCCCTGCCCTCTGTGCTTCGGGGGCGCGCGGCCCCACGCGCCTCCTTGGGCATGCTCTCGTGGTCCTCGTAGCCTCTCTGCATGACCGAAAACGCCCCCGCCCTGTATATAGCACCCGATAGCGTAGCCCTCCCGCCCGCCCGGGCTGAGCATCGCAGGTACAAGCGCTTCCCTTCCACYTGCCTTTATTTATTTGCAGTTCCTTCGGGGTCCCTCCGGAGCTGGCCGCCTCCCCGGGAAGCGGAGGGGAAGCTCCGCGCGCGGCTCCCCAGGGAGCATCAGCACCAGGCGCCCTCGGCACCCCTGGGAGCAGAGCCATGCGCGCCCACCCGGCCCAAAACCCCTCCTGCCCCACTCCCGCCACCCACGGAAATTTTTTTTTTTAACCAGCTGCAAGATTTTCCCCTAGGAGTGTAAGGAATTTTTTTTATTATTATTTCCCCCCCCAGCTCCTTGTCAAACCTTCCCTTCTGCAGGGGTCCTGGGGCTCTGCTGCAGCCCCTCTGCCCTGGCTTTCAGGGGAGGTGGCGAAGGCGGCCGGGGGCTGCCGGGGGCTGCTCCGTCCTCGTCTGTCCGCCTCCCTCGYGTTTTCTTTGTGTGTATTGCCCACCCACTATAGGCAGCGAGCCCACTAGTTGTGATGATCCTTATCAATGGTACACGATGCACAGCCAAATAAAGTTTGTAATGACTTCCCTGTGGATGCCGACGTGCTCCTGCATATTTGCTCCGGGACAAACGTGCTTCCCCTGAGCCCACCGCTCGCATCTCYCCTCGGCTCTTGGGTGCTGCTTGGGGTGCCCAGGCAAGACAAGAGCACCCTGGGGGGGGTCCCAGCAGTGCAGGACCCCCGCACTGACCTGCCMCCCAGCACCCACCACCCATCCAAGCGCCCAGAGACACGGCCACCACCACGGACACCTCCACTGCATGGACAACGTGGCCGGGACACGGTCCTTGTCACCGTCACGTGCTAGTGAGCGACCTAACCAGGCRACCTTCTGGAGTGCAGCGTTCAAGGGCCATTGGTGACCTTGAACCTGTGTCCCTRCCTCCAAAAGCATCTTCTGCAATAGAGCTGCTTCAGTTTTCCTTCCCCATCAAATGCTTTGTCATGAGGTTTTGAGGTGCCATGCTGAGGGACTATCAACATAACCTCAGAGGAAAAGAAAGGAATTAAAGCRGATTTATCTGTCCTGGACCTTCATTCTGGCACCTTTTTCCATGCACAAAGCGCCTAGTTTGTAAGTGCAGCTGCAAGAGCCGTTCTCAACGTGAGCCCAACTGCAAACACCTTCCCCAGGGCCTTGGGGACTCGGAGGTGGCGTGTCCCTCCCAAGCCAGGGCACAGTGGCCTGAGGCATCGCCTTCCCTCTCCCTAGTGCTCCCCTTAAATGACCACACGAATCATTACGTTACTGCACTGCACGTTTCAGCAGGCCTTAACATGCACTACGTGGTGCTCTGGGGTTCACTGGGGGTTTGAATCACAAAAAAAMCCCAACATTCAAAGGGGGTGCAAATACAGATGTGTGCACAGGGCACACCAATATGCTATAAATACCATACACGAGCCTGCCTCWGGCTGAGCCTTATCCGAGGTTTATCACAGCGATTAAACCTCCCGTTGTTCAAGCACTCGCACGCGAGAGCTTGCATTCCTCACGTGCTCTGTTACGTCAGGGCACCGATCAACCCCTCCTCTTAGTCAAGGGAGGGCAGAGCCAGCATTAAGTTGAGAGCCGAGGTCTCGGCTTGGGCCACCTTGAGCTCGCAGGCAACGTGGGTCCCTGGRGAGTCCCAGGGCTCCCTTCCCCTGGGCTGCATGCTCGTGGTGACCAACTGTCCCCTGCTCGTGGCACTTGCACCTTTGGCAGTGCATCCTCAGCCCATGATGACCAGGGCAGGAGAAGCGCTAGGCACTGGCTCGAGTGCTCCCCGGCTCGAGACATAGCTTAGTCTAAGCTTGGTACTAAGCTTAGGGCTTGGCCAAGCAAGGGTACCACCCCTACTTTGCTATAGAGCTCTATTATGCATCTTTTAATCTTCTACCAAAGRAAGACTTATTCTTCTATTAAAATCACAACATCCCAGGGGTTATATGTGAAATATTTGTTCAAGCCAGCTGAGATCTACTCACATCTACTATCTGTAGATCTCAGAGCTGTATCTATAAGATACAGATCTACTCTCAAGATCTGTATGGCCAACACGAAGAGTGTGGTGCTACACGTAGGCTTGGAGCCCGAGTACCTGCGGGCCAGAAGGTTTCTGCTCGTCGCCTGTCTGGCTCCCGCGTTTGCTCCCGCTCTCACCTCCAGCCAAAGAACATCCACAGCTGCTGACTTCACAACTTGACTTTATTACTGTACAGACTCAGAGGAGAGCGGAGCGCGCTCCTGCCCCGTCGCGCCGCCGCGGCAGCCCGGAGCTCAGCCCAGGGACCCTGGTGGCACCAGGGCAGACGCAGGAACAACGTCCCGCGGCCGGGAGGCCCCACACCGACAGCCGGAGACGGGGACGAATGGCACAGGCCGCACGCGCCTAGCGAAGGGCATCCCAGGGGGAGGCAGGTGCGGGTTTAGGAGCCAAACCTAACCTAAAGCGCTGCTTTGCCACGCTGGGGAGGAGGGTGCACACGAAACGCGGGGGCCTCGGTGACAACTCGGCTACAGCGGGAGYTTGGCCATGAGCAGGAGCCATAAAGGCCACCTGGGAAGCAAAGGTGCTTGCGGGACACAGCGTCTCCCAAGGCTTTCGCTCCACTCTCCTGGCAAGTGCTGCAAACGTGTAGGACCCAGAACAGGGGCCGTGGAAAATAACCGAGCTCAGTCCAGAAAAAGAAGAAAAATATATATATATATTTATATATTTTTTTAAACTATGTCAGAAAAACYTTTTTTTGCAAGCAAGCGGTGGATATAGCACTACTTTAATACTATTTAAACACTCAGGACAACAAGTTGCCAAGTTAGCACGGAGCTGTACTTCAGACACGTGTTTAGATCAGAAGCAAAGTGAAGACCAGCATGCCAGACAATACCTATGGGCACCTACAGTGATCCCTACCTACCCGGGCAGCGACGACAACGATACTCTTGCTTTGGCAATGGAAAAGGGCAGCGTTTTTGTCACGGCAATCCAGCCCTCCTTCATTTTCTGCACGTTCCTCACGCGTCTGGGCAACACTTCAGCTTAGAGCAATACTGAGCACTGGCTCCCAAGTTGCATAGGCTCCTAAATCCCTCTTAATATACATGGAACAGGTAGCTGAATAGGTAGCTTCATYGTCTCTACTTAAACTAAGCATTGCACAAAAGCACCTGGGTTGCAGATGTTTTAGAATACGTTTTTTTTTTAACGACTAGGGGAGTCTATTATAAATGCTTATACCTTTCCAAGGCAAGCATTGCTCAGTCCTTCACTCTCACCACAGCGAGGGAGGGTCCCTGGCTCACACCAGGTCTCRGTGGATAATTTTGGGCAGCACCGTGGTGAGCAGGGAGACCAAACACTACCCAGTCTTGCCCAGCAGCCCTAGCAGAGCTGTGCTTGGGACACCAGCAGGATAAGCAAAAAGGTAGAAAAATACATTATTACGTGGGTCCGGTTATTTGGGGGAAGGTGGGACAGGGTGCAGCACAAAATAGGTGGAAAAAGAGATCCCAGAAAATAKAGAACCATACATTTTCTATTTAGACTGTAAATGCAAAACGCAGACTTAACTAGACGAACACTCATGACTACAGGATGGACAGCAATCTAAGCAGTCCTGTCCCCTCCAAATTATAAGTGTTTTCCAGCCTAGCTCTTTCTGCAGTCTGTATTTACACGTGCACACACGTAGCTGTATAGGATGTGTACGCACACGTGCACAGGGTGCGTCACAAAGCCTTTCACCAGCACCACGCACGAAGCCATGAGGAAAAGAAAAAACAAGACCCAAGCTCATCTGACAAAGGGCCAGGAAAACAAGACTCAGCCACAACGCAGGAGCAGGTCAGCAGATATCTGCACCGCACACAACCTTAGGGGACAAAACCGCAGAGGAAAAGCAGCGAGAAGTGCACACCAGAAGAAAAGAACTAGGGAAAACCCTGCCAGAAGTGTGTCCTCAAGCTCGCCAGCAAGACCCAGTGTGGCATCACCTCCCCACGTCACCACAGCAGAGAGCAGGACACGAAAGGGGACACAGGAGGCGTTGGAGTCCTAAGCAACAGAACTAAGCGAGATACGTTATCACCTATCCCGAGATGGTCCCTGGCCAGAAACACAAGAGCGGATTATCGAGGCCACGTGCCGCAAGCATCACGAGGGCTTCACTTCAGGTCCCCGTCGCCCTCGCCTTGGATGGACTTCTTGATGCGGAGCAGCATGGTTGTAAGCCACTGATCCAAGCGCGATATTGAGTCAAACTCTTTCACCTGGTGCAACGGGGGAGGAAAGGTTGAAGTGTAGTTATGTTGGGTTATATAGTTATATATATATGTATATAGGGAAGTTATATATTGGGAAAAAATGCAAAAAATGCACTGCAAAAGATGCATGCTGCATTCTGTTTGRCTTTTAAAGCTAGATATCTGCATACATATATATATAATGCATATATGCATACATATATATATATATATATGTAAAAAGTTATATTTCTATTTATATACACGCACACAGAGCTTTAAATACCAGGCTAGGGACTGGTGCAAAACCCTGGGAATGGCAGGAGGCAAATTTTCTGTGCAGCCCAATGGAGCTAACCCTGCTTTGCGGGGAGCTTGGACCTCCAGAGCTCTCAGCCCRCCCGTGTTCTGTGATTCGGAGCCAAACGGCTTCGCTGCAAGGACCGAACCCTGCTGGGGCAATGCAGCAATGCTGCATGTATGCATGCTGCTCGTGCAGCAGGTGACCCAAACAGTGGRAAAAAAAACAGATTAAAAAGTATGAGGTAAGATTGTCCGGGAGCCAGTAGTCATAAATGGACCTTCAGCAAGCGCCAGGCTACTTACCGCCTCGGTGTAAGCCTCGCTGTTCTGCTCCTCGTGGGCTTCCAGCAGTTTCTGGCACAACATCACGCAAAGTTACCAGCAGTTCTAYGTCAGTTAAATACCACATTGCTCCCCATTCCCACCCAGCCACTCCACGGATTCCCCCCATGGATCTTCCCTTCCCGTTTCCAGCAGCATGGGACAATCCCCATGCAAARCCAAGGCTTGATCACAGGACCAAACCTCATCAAGGTGGAAAGATGCTGAGGAAAGGACAGGATTCATTTTCAAACATGACAGCATTATTTTGGTACTGGYTTGGCTTACTTTTAATAGCTTGCACTCCCTTGAATCTGTGAATGCTGGGAACATTTCTTCGTATTTCTCGAGTGCCAGCTGGAAGAGAGAAGACAACCCTTGAGTTCACGTTGCAGGCCGATACCTACTTTTCACTTCAGTTCTAGTCCTGGAACAGGTTAGAGAGCTTGAGAAGATATTCCCAGTAAAGCCAAGAGTGCAAGGACACACAGGACCAATCCTAAATCCACTTGCTTTGCTGCATGTCATGCTGCTTTAGTCATTATAGCCCTTCAAATGGTGCTTAGGTCCTCATAGCCCCAGCAGCTCCCAGTCCTGCTCATCCACGGCTCTCCCAGGAAAGCAGCACGGAGCCCCCTCCCTCCCCACACTTTTGGGGCAAAGTAGCATTTCTGTGGAAAGAAAAGTCTCAAGCCACCCAGCAGACATTCAAGTCCCAACGCCTGCAGGAACGTTGCTCTTGCAAAGGCAACGTGGCTGCAGGACGCTCAGGASAGCCACTAACCTTCGCGTTCAGCTCATCCACAATGAAGTGGCACAGGGCAGCTTTGAAGAAATACTCTTTAGCGCTGTACTTGAGCAAAGGATTGTCCATAGTGTTGGTTCCCACCTAGACACATCATTATTAAAGAAAATTACATTACATGAATTAAGAACACAGCAGCTAATTCACATTACACGTGACATCACACAACTGGTGAGCAATGAGGAAGACTATGAAAAAAAAAATGCCAGTGCCTTTAAAAGAAAACATGTTGGGAAGCTAGATGGATTTTTGACTAAGCCAAAGTGAGGGAAAAAATCCCCAAGCAGCCCGTGTGCCCAAGGAGCTGGTGTCAGGCACTGCACTGGTTCAAGACCCCGCATTGATAAACAGGGGGTTAGCATCTCTGCAGGGATGCAGGACGAGTCCCTTTAACAACAGGGACTCAGGAAAATGTTAAAAAGCTTAAGATAAACCGATTGTAAAAAGCAGAGAAGCAAACTGCAGCTTTTGAAGGCTTAGTCMACTCCAAAACAGGCGAGATTTGAAGATTCCAGGACATGGCACTGTTGAGGGACTACTACACCGACCTGCTTTTCATTTCCAATGAATTTCTGGCTGCAGATCAGACTTTTTCCCAACTTGCATTTCTCCTCTGGTTTGCAGCATCATTTAAACAACCAACCTTCCMCCCTTGATGAGACCCACAATTTATCATACAGGTGAGTCCTTAAGGGCTCGGCTGAAATACATGGACAAAACTCAGTCTCACAGTGGAAAACCCATTTCTCTCTCCACCGTCGAGATTGTCTTGATGCTTTCACCCCTGTCACTGATGCCCTTTCATGCTAACCTGCTCGTAGATCTCAATGGCCTTCTGGTACTGCTCCAGCTGGGCGGCGTAAGCAGCAACCTTCAGCAGACACTTGTTGGCTGAACTGCAATCAGTACAATTAATACATGGGTAAGGCATTAATAATGCATCCATATGCATTATACACATAATGCACTAACATAATAAATTAATACAAATAAAGTAAGTAGTAACATCCTGGCCAATGGTGGGAGAAAAAGAACAAAAAAGTGCCCCAGGATCTCCAAGCAATATTACCCAGCAAATATGATAGCTGCCTATCAGGATAACTTTTTTTTTATCATCAAAACTAAAACCACATGGAAGTGCAGAAGGACTTTCAGCTAGGCATGCCTTTTTCAACCCCATGCTTTCTGTGCAGCCAGGATGGACTTCCAAAGCAAGCTAAGCTTGTTTGCAAGAAAAGAGAGTCTTGGATATGAATCTAAAAGGTTTTTATTAGTAATTCAACTAATATAAGGAGCCTAAGRTATCAAGGCTGCATTTCTAACTCTTGTCAAAAGCAATTCAAAGTTGCAAAGACAACTTGCCTGTTGGATTCTTCTCCYTTGTAGTAGTCCGCAGCCTGCTCATAGTGTGCAATCGCCTGGAAGAGAGAAAACATGGATATATTGGGCTTCTGAAGGCAAGGTTTTGGTGACAGGAGCACATGGCTTTGGTAAAACCCCCAATACCTTTGGGCATTTAATAAAGGGTCAATATTACTATGAGATAACTACTAAAAATGTTGACAAGCGCAATGCAACACCTTCTCTCCATTTGCCACAATATGATTAACTTTGTATTAAAAGACCTGTCCTGACCTAATGCTTGATTAAAGCAGGGTGGGTAATGCTGGAATTGTTCATGTGCACAAACAGGATCTGATATTGAGCAACCTACGAGGCAGATGATTTTCCAGAAAGCAGTATCTAGAAATGCTACATCGGCATCCAACAAACCTCAACAAGATTTGTTAACCGGTTGACCTGCTAAGTATTTCATGTTACTCTGTTTAGAAACCAAGCTGCGTGTTCCTTGCAACAGGCACTTGTTGGTGATGACAAGAGGCTGCCACCTCGCTGCCACCAATTCCAGCTTCCCCATGCTGAGAGCCAGTCCCGATAACTCCASGTCTAGCAGCACACGGGCACGCATCTGACACTGGTGGGCACTAGCACTKTGTAGCTGTCTCCAAACCCAACCTTGACAGCTTCCACAGGGCAAAATCCATATCTCAAAACACCTTCTAGAGCAAAGCAATAGGCCTAAACCACTCAGCCTCTGCAAAAAAACATGCTGGGATGTGTAACAGCAGCAGAGGTCAACCCTAGACCACCACAGCCTCCTCCATGGAGTATCCTCTGGAGTAGGTTTTCAAGGCTACGTCAGAGGAAAGAAAATTATACAGGAGCTTCACCATCATGCTTCTGCAGATAACTAACTTGCAAAGGATCAGGACACCCTTTGTGGTGGGGAGGGAGAAAAATCTCCACTTCAGTCCCAACCTATTTGCTCTGTGACTCTGAGTCGTCATTCTGCTAGCATCAAACCTGCTGCCAATGACCTTTGTAGTTATTTGTAATATAATGAAAGATGGACAACTGGAAAGGTTACTAATGGTCAACACTTTGACCTGGCTGTAAGAATAACTCTAATTTCAGTGACTTATATCCACAGGAGTCTAGTTTTGGATGACAGACAAATTTTGTCAACCAGGCTGGCCTAGATTTCCCTCTTGGGGGGAAGGAAAGGCAACATGACAGCAACAACATGCTCATAGTCTTTACCTTCTCAATATCCACCAGCTCAGCCTCATAAATCTCTGCAATGGTGATGTGATGCTTGGCAGCAATAGTGAATCGCCCCTGGAAAATATAAGAGATCATGAATGAGATGAGGGTTTCCCTCTTGGGCCAGCACATAAAATATCTACGAAGCACCACGTGATAGCTGAATCTCTTGTAGGCACACGGAATCACAGAGCGGTTGAGGTTGGAAGGGACCTCTAGAGATCATCCAGTCCAACCCCCTGCTCCAGCAGGGACACCCAGAGCACGGAGCACCGGGTCGCATCCGGGTAGGTTTGGAAGACCTCCAGAGAAGGAGACTCCAAAGCCTCCCTGGGCAGCCTGTTCCAGGGCTCTGGCACCCTCCCAGTGAAGAAGTTCCTCCTCACATGCAGATGGAACTGCCCGGGTTTCAACTTGTTCCCATCACCCCTTGTCCTGTCGCTGGCCACTACCGAGATGAGTTTGGCCCCATCCTCTTCACATTTCCCCCTCTTGTATTTATACATATTGATCAGATTTCCTCTCTTCTCCAGGCTCAACAGGCCAGCTTGCTTAGTCTTTCCTCACAGGATAGATGCTCCAGTCCCTTAATCATCTTTGTCACTCTATGCTGGACTCTCTCTAGAAGCTCCACGTCCCTCCTGCAGTGACCTGCACTTGTGCACACGATTCACCACGTACGAGTCCACAAGCCACCCAGGCAGCATGGCTCCTTACCATGTCAGTGTAGATATCAATAGCTGCATTTAAGCAGTTGATGGCCTCTGCAGCGTGAGCAGTCAGGAAAAACAGCACAAGGTCAGCCAGCACATCAGAAACCTCGCATTTCTGAGCAACCCCCGCCAAAAAAAAGCATTCAGCAGATTGTGGCAATGCTTCTGTTTGACAGGCTAAAAAACAGCTCCACAAATACCTATGTATGTCTGGGACGTGGACACAGTTTTGTGCCCATGCATGGTGACATCCCCAGCAGTTTGCAATCGAATCATGACCCCCTACCCAGGCTGGATTTAGGTATCTGCATCTGGCCTGCCTCGTAGTGCAGGCAACCATTCAGATACCGAAACGCCCGTCAGAAATTAGGACGGGCAGAACACAGCCAAGCTGTCCTCCCATGGGCACCTACATTCACATCTAGTTCTCAAGCAGGAGGTGTGGTTGTGCTGCTCCCGAGACACCATCCAGGGACAGCACTACTGCACATCACCTTCCAGATACAACCGGCAGCATGGTTTGTGTTATTGTTAGCACAATATATTCGTGCTAACATATATTATATGTGCTAACATATATTTGTGGCAGGAGGAGCATAGTGGGTAGAGCAACTACGCAAAATCTCCCTATAAACTGCAAAGATTCATCTACCAGACCYGTAGATGCATGCTAAAGAAAAATGTCCTAAAATTCACAGAATTTACAGCAGATTTATACACCCATGAAAAGATATTCTCTGCCCCGACATACTCTGCAAGCAACATTGCATTTAAGTAAAAATCTTGTCTGAGAAGAAGCAGCCAAGGCTACGCTTAAGGCTTTGCAGTAGTCTACACTGAAGATCTTGAACCACAAAAAGCAGCTGATTAAAGAAAACCTCAGCCATACCAGCTACTCCGCGACCAGCATCTGCACGAAATAACGCAGGATTTCATCTGCCTTACCTTGAGGATCAGCTTTTTTGTAAGCGTTCCCRGCATCCACAAAGCTGGTGGCCGAATCGTGCTTGCTCTGCAGCTGCATGTGCAGTTTGGCAGCCTGGCAAAATGCATTCCCTGCAGCTGGGGAAGAACCACAGGCACCATTTACCTCTCCACTCCCATGGAGTAAGCAGAACGACAGCATGATGACAAGACATTTCCATGAACGACCCAAGCAGACCCACATCTGCACCTGTCTTGCAGATGCACCTGCACTTGCCCTGTAATTCACTGCTTCACAGCACACTTGTCCTCATTTTACACCATTAAGGCAGATAACTGGCCCTGGCCCAAGGTCTGGCTCCTGGACACAACGTGGGAATCATCTGCATCTTGCAAGCCCATCTCRATGCCTTATAACAAGGCCACCACTTGCCTTATTGCCTTTTGAGAAGGAGATGCACGAGGAACAGCACAGCTCAGAAGAGCACGCAGCATCAGACAGAGTCAACCCTCACACAAAGAAACCAAGGTTTGGATGCTAATTCCTTCTGCCGGACTTGTAATTCCTGAATTCAAAGGTAAATAAGGAGGAGACTCTCCAAGGCTGTACTTACCACTCCAGTTTTTGGCTATCTTGAACATGTTTGCAGCCCTGGTATACATTTCACAGGCTTCCTCTAACCTGGTATTTCCCCTGAAAGAGAGCGAGAGAGCCAGTTACACCGTGCTGCAATGAAATAGAGTTATTAAAACACAGGCCAGAAGCTAAAGTCAGGCTTAGGAGCCTACTAGCTCTGGCGACCTTGATACTTTACTACATCAAGAGACAGTCATTCACCATCATCCCAGCTGTGCCTTATGCAAGGCTCCCATTGTCTTCTTCTCCTTAAACAAGTAAAATCCCAATATAAAGAGTGAATCCCAGAAGATACAATGCAAGCATTATATTATCCGGAGAGGGGAAACCAAATTTTAGGTAGCTCGCCTACACTGCTGTCCCAGGAGACCCACATCTTGACAAGATCCTTTCTAAGCAAATCAGCTTCTTATAAAACACGCTGCCTCATGCAGGGCTTGCACTAAATTTCCTCATATTACATTCTGGAAAACCAACCAAGAAGGCCATGCAAGGTGATCAGTTTGCAAAGCCAATGCTGGATCGCTGGCTGAGAAGAGCAGAAGAACCTGAGGCAAGAGCTCCTGTGCCTTCTCCAACAACTGCCCCTATGTCACCAGTATGGCTACTGCTGCAGGAAACAGAGGAAGACAAACTTCAGATATGATGTTATCCAGTTTGGGTATTTCTAAAATACTCAAGACGTCGATGTCCCAGTCATGACTGCCATGGGGCTACCTAAATTGAGATATCTACCTATCTCCATCCTAGCCACYCTACCTAGCTCTAGAGCTGCATCCATCCAGCGACATGCCCTGGGTTCAACCATCTGTGAAAACAAATACAGAGTCTGTATCCTAAAATGAGGAGGGATTTCCCTTSCTCTAGAAATTGGTGTGGCAGAAGTGTGGGAAAAGAACTGCGCTACTTAACTGCTCCRTATGCTCCATAGGCAGGCTTTAAAGTCAGAAAAATGAGAGAAGGAGAAAGAAGTTGACACCTGATTAGGTCTCCCATGTCATGATGCACACTACAAGCAGGTGGCAGCTGGCAAAAAAGACTAGAATAATCAAGTCCTATCTAAAGAGAAAAGCAGCTTTTCTGTTTTTATTATTATTCCACAAAGCAGGGACCAGAAGAACAGACAGAAACGCGGTGCTCAACTGGCAGCCTCTGAGGAGCTGGCAGCTTGGTGCAAACCAAGATCTGCTCGTAGATTCAGGTCCCTCACCTGGAAGGCGTGAGCAGGGCAGGCTGCTCTCCCACATCAGGCTGCTGTGTGGACTCATCCATCCGGGATGCTGCAGTAACGCCAGGGTTGTGGCAGGAGGACAGCACATACTCCATACACCGCAAACATCTCTTGGCTGACAGCTAAGACATGCTACCCCCAATTTTTATTCTAGGGAACTTTCCAGGAATTATTAGACTGCACAAAGTGCAATAATTCCAGGAATTATTGGAACTGCACAAAGCCCTGGTCTGCGCCTGCTCCTTAGGCACACTTTAGGACAACCACAGAGATCATGAAATGGTGTCTGCTGTACACATGAGCTGCCTGCACGAAGATGTCCTTCCATGGAGATGGAAGCTTCACACTGGAAAGGTGATGGTGGCAYGAGCAACCAAAAAGGTGCCTGGGTGGTGCTGAGGGCCTGAAGCAAGCCACTGATGAGCTGAGATGCTCTGCTGCACCCATCCTCACAAGCGGAGAGAATCTGGTTGAAGACACGAAGGTGGAGGAGGACACAGCAGGACAGCAACTCAGCTGGATCATCAGCCTTAAAACGGTGACCAGCAGCACCACGTCCAACCAGTAGCATCCCTCGGAACAAATATTGTTCAACATCTTTATTAACAAGCTGGGTGATGGGACAGCGTGTGCGCTCAGCAAGTGACACCAAACTGGAGGCAGCGGTTGACCTGCTGGACAGCAGAGCTGCTGTTTAGAGGGTCCCCAACRAAGGGCATAAACCTGCAAATTTTGACAAAGGAAAAGGCAAAGTCCTGCATGTGGGATCCARCTACCCCAAGCAGCAGGACAGGCTGGAGGTGACTGGTTAGAAAACAGCTTTGCAGAAAAACACAGAAGACTCTGGATCAGTCAGCTGAGCCTAAGACAGCAGTATATCAAGGACGGCCAAGCYCATATAGAGCTGTATGGACATGGTAGTTCTCCCATCGGACACCCCATTGCAGCAGGTCCAGTGGAGGCCACCAGGATGACCAGAGGCTGGAGCTCCTGGAGACCAGCAAGGCTGGTGAAACACAGGAGCAGGGGTCCAGAGAGCCTGTAGGCTCTCCAGCCTTGAGACGTTCAGCCTTTGGCTGGGCATGAGCCTAAGCAACCTGACCTACCCTAGACCAGCTCTGAGCAGGAGGCTGGAGTAAATCCCTGGAGGTCCCCTCCAGCCTACAAGATCCTGGGATGCTTCCCACATTCAGAAATTGCTTTAGCATCAGGCAGAAGAGGGAGATTATTGCTAGTTTTGCCCTGGGAGATGTTCTCTATCTCACTGCTCACCATGGCCTGCATTTTATGGGTCTGCTACATAAAGACTACTGCTGTTTTTCTCCAACACCCTGGCAGGACTTGTCTTCTTGACCCGAGGGTGATGAAGAGAAGAAACAGAGGAAGGAGAAGAAAGGGGAAAACTCACATAAAAAAAGAAGAAAGCACTATATTCTTTAGGAAAGATGAAATTAAGCCACCTAAAAAGCATCTATTTCAGCTATTCATCTATGTCCCAGGATTCCCCCAGGACAAAGCCAGAAGGTGAAGCACTAGCACATGTCCTAGCAGGAAAAATAAATAAATAAATRAATAATAGTTGAGAAGAATTTTGTTTTTGTCTCCACAACAAGCAACAGGTTCAGACGCAGATCTTCTCCTGCRCCTCCTACGCCGCTCACACATATGGGTTAAAAAAGCACTGGTATTTCTTTAGCACCTGCAGAGCACTGCTGCCTTCTGGTCCTCCTCTGTGCAGTGAGGATTGGGGAAGAACTACAAACAAGACAGAATCCTTCCATCTCAGAGTGAAGCTTAAGAAACCACTGGTGTGATGGCTTGAAAASTAAGCACCTGAGCTTCCAGATCTAACCTGGTTTAAGAGGGAATCGTGCATGACCTCTGAGGTCCCTTCCAACCTTAAGCATTCTATGATTCTATGTTGACCCAAGACCTGCATTTCCAAAAATAATCGGGCAAAACCTTCAAGGTTGGCGAGTCCTCCGAGGCRTCTCTCMCACCAAGAACACTCACAGCAGAGAYGGATGCTCTGTTGGGCTAATAAAAGCATTTTTAATGGGCAAAACTCTTCCGTGTCTCCAAGCTGGAAACCACACTCCAAGTTTGGCACGCCAGCTCCTTGGCATCTCTCCCTGCATCTACTTCTCCTTTGAGGCCAGGCCAAAACCAATGCATCCTTTGCCACAGTTGTCTAGAGGTTATGGACGCACAATCCCCAGACAAAAAATATATATATATTTTTTGCAGCACTAGGGAGCTGAAATAGGAGGTTCACCACCAGTTCCTTCACGAAACGGCGACTATAACTGAGCTTGAGGGCAACAGGAGAGACTCCACAAAATACCCACAGAGTCCAGCAGGTGACAATATCCACAAGACTGTTCAGAGAATATAAAATAAAAAGATACTATATACCTCATTATGTGCATAAGAAACGTCCATATTCATCAAGTGAATGTATGCTATCAAACCAAACGTGGATGCAGCATCTGGTTTTCCGTTCTGTCTGCATTCCCCAGTTAAGGAACACAAGGAAAACACCTCCAAATATTCTGATTGATGAATTAAGGGTAATTGCTTCCTGAATTGCACAACCAATGATGAGAATATGGTCTCTCTTAAGAGAGAATTTGATTTGTTTTTGTTGTTGTTGTTGTTAATTAAATGCATATTTCCTCAGGCACTTAGTCCTCAAAGTTCATTTCTGTCTTCTTTAACAAAAAAAAAAAAAATCCATGAAAAAGCCAGACTGGCTGGCTGACGAGYAGAGGATGAAAATATTTGTTGCAGTATTTTATTTTTCTTCTTTTGGCCTATTCTTGCACATTTCCTTTCACATGGTTTCTCAAGATTGGTTGCTTTTGCCCTTAAGAACCACTTTTTGAGTGAGCTAAAGCCCCACAAAGAGACAAAAGGCAACACCAGACTCCCAAAAGGATGTTCAACCTTTTAGTTCCCAACATATGGGTTTTAGTAACCATTAAAACCCACAAAATTTACTGCAAACGTTCCGCGAGTCCCTTTGGACAACGGTCTGCTTCCAGGTGGCCCTGGGGAGAAGCCAAGACCTGCTTTTCCCTTCACGTGAGACAGGAGCTTCACAGCCTGTAACTACTTTTCATTAAATAAAAATACCATTTAAGTGATCTTTTCTTAGAACAGGTCCAAGTAGGTCTTTCCAGGCTGCTCTCCAGTAATAATTCATTCCCATTAGATGGGTTATACAGAATAAAAGCAGGCAGCCAAAAAGCCTGATTTATTTTACAAACACACAGATTATAAAGCAAGTAAAAGAGCAATTTAATTTAGGTAGCAGTAACATAACAACCTTTGGGGGGTTATTTTTTTTTCCTCGACTTTCTGTCGGAATCCATTGGTTTTTGCAGGTGATGTGCGACAGGGAACAAGTTGGGGGAGGTGGGCAATTTTTTGCTGTCTAAATAAAAGTCTTTGCTTAGATTTTAGATTTTTTTTTCATCTATTTTGAGCAAAAGAAAATTAGAAATTTGCCCTGGAAATCTGCTGCTTCCCTTCAAGGATTTTAGAAAAAACGCCAATGAGGATTACGGTCCATGCCCTGTGCRATTAAGCTCAGTGAGACCCAAAAGGAATTTATTTTTAAATACAGTTCTTTAAAAATTCTCCTTCCCACGTTGTGGGCATTAGACTTTGTCAGGCTGCTCCCTGCACCAGCCAACAACGCACCTCCAGTTTCGTCTGCCCCCTGTTTCTCTTTACAAGGTATTTTCTTAAAAGAATAAATAAAACCAATCCTCCTTTTAAACCAAAGTCCCCAAGCCAGGATTTTAGGGGCTTGTTTCTATGGAAAAGCCAAATCTCCRGGAATTTTTGCAAAGCAGAATTGCTCCAGCCCGAGCCCCAGCAACTGAGGTTGGTCTCTCCCTTTGCCTGCAGCACCAGGTAGTTACCAGGGAGCAGATCCAAAGCCTGGACCCTAAAAGAGGAAAGCAAAAGCCCCCATGGAGCAAGAAACTGCTTTTTGGGGGCTGTTTCTCAGAGCTGTCCCTTAAGGCAATAACTCCTTTAAGAGCAGCAAGCCCCCTGGCATTGCATGGGGTTTTGCAGGTCCCTTCCCTGCCATCCCACGGGGACCGGGAATTATTCAGCAAAAAAAAAAAGCCACGGCCGACGCTGCCAACAGGGCAGAAGGATTTAGGGCAATGAGGAGAAAACCCCGTGGGTTGGCACATTCCAACGGGAGCAACGCTCCGGCTCTCCGGGAAACSGCCCTTTCGGCTTCCCAGGCCCCAAACTGGCTCTGAAGCCAAGCTTTGGCCCCGGGAGCTGCAGGGACAAAGCCCTGGAGCGAGGAAGCTGCAGAGCRGGGCTGCTGCCTGGAAAAATCCCCCTTAAAACCCACGGAGGAGCAGGGGCCGCCGGCGTCATGCCCGGCGCGGCAGGGAGGAGCTGCCTCCCCCAGCCCACGCGATCCGGGAATCGCTCCCAGGGATTCCCGCGATCCCTAACGCGGGCACGGGGAGCCCCGCGCTCAAATGGGCTGCGGAAACCAAGGGCAGATTCGGTTTCGGGTGTGCAGGGGGGGATCCCACATAGAGACCCCCCCCCCATCGATATAGACCAGAATCCTGCCAAATTCACCCAAACCCAGGGGTCAAGCGCAGCGTTTCAGTTACCACAGGGCTTTGAAGGAGTCAGCCGAGCAAATAAGGGCAGCAGGAGGGGTGGGAAAGGGGGTCCCGGGCCAAAACCCTGGAGAGGAACGAGAAAACCCCTAGCCCTTGCCAWTGGCGATAATTATACTAATAATTATCCCGATAATCCTGATAATTATATTAATAATGATAAGTAAATGCAATGATGGCCCCCCTGGCCCTTCGGGGTTGGCTCCCCAGGACTTGTCCTGCCCAGGCCCGGCTCAGCCCCTGCCTGGCGCCACCCCCACCCCCGCAGCCCCCCCTCGCACCCCTTCCCACCGCGCTCCCCACGGCGCCTCCCGCACCCCCTTTTGCAAGTCACCCCTYGCAGCCCCGCGCACCCCGCTCTGCATCCCCGCGCACCCCCCCGCTTTTGCACTGTCATCCCCCCCATCATTCTCCTTCCCATATCCCCTTTCCAACTCCCCCTTTTGCAAACCCCCCTTTTGCAAAGTGCGCAACGCCCCCCCCCCATTGCAACCCCCCCATTGCAGCCCCTTTGCAGCCGCTCACCCGAAGAGGCCGCGCAGGAAGGAGTGCGAGCCCTTGACGCGCTTCTCGGCCTCGGCCATGAGCTGCACGGCCTCGCGCTCCTTGCCCGCGCTGTCCATGGCGCCGGGGCGCACGGCCGGGCCCGCTCCGCCGCCTGCCGCTTCCTCCCGGGCCTCCTCCTCTTCCTCCTCCTCCTCCTCCTCCTCCTCCGCGGCGCAGGCGCGCACCGGGCTGCGTTATGGGCTGCGCGTTTGCGTTGTGGGCTGCGCGTTGCATCGCCCGCGCGCTGCATCGCCTGCTGCAGGGCGTGCGGGAGCGGTTGCATCGGTGCCGGCTGCAGGGCGCCGCTTTGCAAGCTGCATGGTGCACCGGTGCACGCTGCGGTGCCGGTTGCATTTCTGCAGGTTGCAGGCTGCGTTGGTGCGGGCTGCATGGGCAGCAAGTACTGCAAGTTGCAAGGGGCGTTGGTGCGTGTTGCACGGTGCAGGCTGCATCGGTGCAGGCTGCATCGGTGCAGGCTGCATGGCGCATCGTGCAGGTTGCACTGGTGCAGGCTGCATGGGYAGCAAGTACTGCAAGTTGCAAGGGGCGTTGGTGCGTGTTGCACAGTGCAGGTTGCATTAGTGCAGGCTGTATCAGTGCATGCTGCTGTTTGCTGGGTGCATTGGTGCATCCTGCATGGCGCATTGTGCCAGTTGCATTGGTGCAGGCTGCTTCAGTGCAGACTGCAACAGTGCAGACTGCAACAGTGCATGGTGCACGCTGCAGCTTGGTGGATGCATTGGTGCATGCTGCATAGTGCATTGTGCAGGTTGCATTGGTGAAGGYTGCATCAGTGCATGGTGCMMGCTGCAGTTTGCTGGGTGCATTGGYGCRTGCCGCATAGTGCATTGCAKGCTGCRTTGCTGCAGGTTGCATCAGTGCATGGTGCACAGTGCAGTTGGGTGCAATGGTGCATCGTGCAGGTTGCATTGGTGCAGGCTGCACTGTGCAGGTTGCACTGGTGCAGCTGCCCAAAGGGCAAGGAGAACAGCATTGCAGGGGGCTTCTCTTCAGTTTTCCTCTAGCGTTTTGGCAGTTGTAGCTCTGTTGCCATCATATTCATGCAACAGTGCAGCAGGAAAGCGGTAAGGAGGCCCGGCYGCACCAAGGGCTGGGTTCAAAGCAGCCTGCAACCTGTGTTACCAGCCAGGATACCGGGGCTTTCGAGCCTTTGCACGGTGCAGAAACCCGTGCAAGAAATCTTTTAAAAGAACCGTCCATGCAGGGAGAACTTCAGAGCCTTCCCAGTTAATGTCCATCCCAAACTTTGAGGGAAGGCCTCGACATGTGGATGTTGCTGAGGGGGATGTCCCCTCTCTGTCAAGCTTTCCCTCCTCCGTTCTTGCTGCCAAGCCTCCCTGTCCTTGGAAGGTGCACAAGTGTGCAGTGGTGCTCACCAGGCTGGTGCTGCACTCCTGCCATCAACCCCAGCCAGGCGGGAGCAAACCCAGGATAGGGAAAAAATGTGKTTTTTTTGGTTTAAACCAGTTTATAAATTCTCCATGCAAGTTTTATACCTGCTAGGCTCTTCTGGCCACGCAGCAGCGGCGCAGAGCTGCGGGCCAGGGCAGGACGAGGCCGCCGTGCGGGCGCCCTGGCACAGCCCCGCGCCGCGAGGGCCTCKCCGTTCTCAGTTTCCATTTCCCAAGCGATCGGGTTTCGGCCAGCGATACCCGGCGCAGGACGGCGCCGCTCACGTCCCGGCGGGACGCGCTCGCGGCAAGGTCGCATCCCCGGCTCCGCGGACGGATCCKCACAGCCCTGCAGCAACTTGGTCCTCCAGTGTCCAGGTTGGGCCGGGCTGGGGCACGGTGCATGCACGGGTTGCGAGGGAGGTGGGCACTGCTCCAAGCTGCGGATAAAGCTGATTACCGTTACCGTTGCGAAGGATCCCGAGTAATCCCGGGGTTTGTTTCCTCTTTCCAGGCAGGACATGACGGAGCTTTTCAATCTTTACAACCTCGTGACTACCACGGAGAGCAAAACGGCGGCGAAGATCCTTCAGCCCATGTCCATGCAGCTCTGTCAGCTCCTCATAGCCCTGGAGTGGGAGGGTGGCCTTTGCCAGGCCTTTCCCAATTTAAGGGAGGATGCGGAAAAATTAGCCAAGGCCACTGGAGAGTTTGCTTCCGTTGCGAGAAGGTAGCGAGTTACCCGAATTCCTCCCCAGGACATGTAGGTGTTGCTGGGGAGTTCATTCCTCCTCAGCCTTGGGTCCGCTCAGGGTTATTTTTATATGGTTTAAACAATTTATTTGCAACCAGTTCTTTCTAACTGGCTCAAAAGCTTCCTTACATAAGGATGTCCTAAATCTCCTCCAAGTATGGACTGATTTCTGTTGCAGCTGCACAAAGCAAGACCCAAATAAGCCATATGTGAGCTAAACACACCTCAAAGTAATCATCAGCCAATTTACCAGATGTTTCAGTAAATTTACTGCTTTTTACCTGAATGTCTCAGTGAATTTGAGTTCAGGATGGGCAACGATCACAGAGTGATGACCAGCCAGAACCTGGGCTAATTACTGTGGTAAAGCCTGAGTTCTGTCGCTCGCACTTGGCAAGGCCACAGGGCTATAGGGTCTCCCTTGGACACCCATCAACGGCACCACAAGGTGACACCAGTTGGCTGTCACCATCTGGGTGTCCTTGTCCCTTCCACCCAAGGGTGATGGATGATGGATGATGGAGAGCCGTGACCAGTGGTTTCTGTTGTAGGCTGGCTGAGGAGTCTGGCGACGAGGTGTTGGTGGAGGAGATGTGTCCTGCAGCCGAGTGTCTCATCCTGGCCGGGAGGCGGATGCTCCTGGCCGCCCACAAGCTCCACGTGCAGCCGGACGTCCCCAGCCACGCGCAGGAGCTGGCGGGGTCAGCCGGAAAGGTCCTCGCRGACACAGTGAAGGTAACGTGGGAGGAGGGCAGCCGTGGAAGAGGTTGGGCTGCGTTGCAGCAGCGGGCAAAGGGGCAGCTRTGGGAGGCCTAGGAGCTCCCCGGTGTCAGGACGTGGCTTGGGAGAAGCTCCAGTGGAGCAGGGCTTGTTCTGCAGAGCAAAACACAGTCTCATCTGTGTGATTGCTGCAGTGTCAGCCACTGCGCTGCTTGTCCAACCTTGGCCAAGGTGTGTCCTTGCAACCATGATACTTGGAGCATGCCAGGCTGTATGAGAAATAATTCCCCCTCCCAGCAGGCAGAAGAAAGACCATTCTTCCCTTCTGTTCACACTTCCGAGACCTTCTCTGGATGGTGTGTCCAGTTTGGGGCCTTCCCAGTACGAGACAGGCATGGACCGTCTGAAGTGAGTTTAGCAGAGGCCACCAGGATGGAGCAACCGATGTAGAGAGGCCGAGGGAGCTGGGACTGTTCATACTGGGGACAGCAAAGCTACAGGGAGATGGAGCTGCTCTGTGCAACTACCTAGTTGGGGGGTTGCAAAGCAAAYGGAGCCAGATTCTTCTTGGGGGCACCCAGCTCTCCTCACAGGCATGGGGAGCAGCAGCAGGACAGCTTTTAGGCTGTGCTGGGCTGTTCTGAGACCTGCTCTCAACTGGGTTACACAAGGCAGTGCCTTGTGATAATGTGATTTATGGAAAGAGCTGAAGAAAAAGTGAACAGTGATGTTTGACCTCTAGCCACTCTGACACTTCTTTTCTGCTGTGCTGGTTAGATCCTTCAGATCGAAGATGCTGCCAAGACAAGGAGGATAATTCAGGCTGCCAACTGGCTTCTGGAGTGTCTGAGCRTGCTGCAAGATGCAGAGGACATGCCAGGAATGCTGTCTGCTTTCCAGGTCTTCTCTGAGTCCTTGCTTCTGCTCAGTGATCTGACAGCAAGGTGCCTCCAGGAGCTCGAGGCTTCTCCTCGACAGAAGAGTCTGGCCCAGACATTTCAGCTCCTTCAAAGGTGTGTTCCTTTGCTCCATACAGCCAAGCACAGTGATCTCGAACACCCCTATGATCAACAAATAAGTCTCTCCAAAGAGTATGCTTTCCAGCTAATGGAGAGGACCATCAGAGAGCTGATCTCCCTGCTCCGCGGCGATACGGACAGCAAGGAACTGCGGGACAGCACTGGGATCTTCTCCAAGCGTGTGAGCAGGCTGCTGGCTCTGCTCTCCTGCCCACGCTCAGTGCACTGCTCCAGCAGTGAGTTCAGTGCCCACGTGGAAATGGTAGTTTTCTACTGCATGCTTCTAGCAGACTTATCCAGTCCGGATGCAAAGACGGATCTGGTAAAACACTGCAGGGCTCTGCTGCAGCTCAGCAGGAATATCTGCAGCCAAGGAAGCCAGGAAGAGGGTCCGTCAGGGCAAAACTGGGGAGCAAGCAGCTTGGAAGAGCASTGTCATGCCATGAGAAAGGAGGTGGAGAATCTCAACCATACGGTGGTCACAGCCACTCTATGCCAGATCCTTGGCACCTTCTTTGAAGCTGAAGAGCCCCTGAGGCAGTTAGTTGAAGGTGCCCTTAGCCTCGCTGCTAAAGGGGGTTTTTCAGCAGGAGCTGGAGGATTTTTGAAGATGCTTCAGCCCCTCACGGCCACCTTTTTCACGCATGTTCAGCAGATGCTGAGAGTGGCAGACATTGTTGTGGCCACATGCACCAAACCCCAGACTGCTGGAGAAATTAGAGACTGTGTAGAGTACCTAAAGAGGCTCCTGGGCAGTCTCCCTCCTCTGCTCACAGAAATGAGCAGRAATGTAGCCCAGGTTCGTGCTGCTGAGCAACTGCAGTCCTTCTATCAAGCGTGGGCAGGAGCAACAGAAAGTCTCCTGCTGTGTTTTGAGGAGACGGTTGGCATGCATGAATTTCTCCAGGTTTCCATCCAGCAAATGGCCAAGCATAGGGAATGGTGTGAAAAAGCCTTGGAAAGTCGGGACCTTCAGCAGTTTTCCTCGCATGTGACGATCCTCACCAGCTGGGCTCAATGGGTAGCTGAAGCTGCCACCAGGTACGTGGACAGATCCGCAGATCCTGTTTTCAGGAACGGCTTGCTGGTTTGGATTGAGCAATTGGGAAGCACCATTGCTGAGCTGAAAACAGTCACAGATGTCTGTCCAGAGAGGCTCTCSTGCCTCCAAACTAGGCATATCTTTTTAAAGACAGCAGAGTGCCTGATAGATACTTCTCGCCGTGTCCAAGAGGGGCT